CCAGTGGCGTAGTGATTTTTTCAATAAAAAAATCGCTAATAAAAAATCCCGATTTTCGACTAAGAAAAAATATCGTAGTATGCCCTGAAACTTTAATAAACATATCAAATTTTGTCCCAAGGTAGACCTTTTGGTACTTGACATTGAAAAAAAAATTATTAAAATCGATTCACAACTTCAAATTTTAGGGGGGTGTTTCCATTAAAAATGGGTCACACTGTATGATAAAATCATATTGTGGGCTGAAAAGAACAATTTGAAACTGAACAAATCTAAAACTAACACCATATTGTTCAGCAGACGTGATCAAAGGGATTCGAATGTGATACTTTATGAAAATAGTGATAAATCAATTAGTCCTATAGAAACTGTAAATATGCTAGGAATTGTTCTAGATAAAAAATTGATATGGAATCAACATATTGATATAGTATTTCCAATACCAATTGGAACAGCACAGAGAAGGAATTCCCGCCTCGACATAGGCGTCGGCATATTATTTTAAAGTGGTAGTTTTTCAGTTACTTATTCCTACAATCATAGCAATTGATCACCCCATGAAAAAGTTATCTCAACTGAATTTTTCCACCATGGGTAATTATGAAAAACTTCGAAATTCAAGGTAGTTGATTTCCGAGTNATAATAAAAAAATATAAGGAAATAAAACTCAAAGAAATGATCAGGGAGATTCAAAATAAATTCTGGTGGGTAGAATTTTTACCCCTGGCACCAGAATAAAAACACTGTTTATTGATGCATGTTTCGCGAACCAAGTTGACATCATCAGAAGATAATACTGAATATTTACATCTGAGATAGGTCATCGCATTTAGTTTTTGTTCGCAAATTAGGTTTTTTGTACCTTGGGAGCTGTCTGACTTGTCCATTTACTCCAAGTTTCCAGAAAACATACATATTATTATTATCATTAATCCGAGAACTCGAATAAATATCACTCAACTCTTTCGGGTGTACAAAAATAATATTTTTTTACAACTAGGTATATAAAATCCATTTTGAAGCATTTATTTTAAATTTCAGGTGATTAAAGCCGAAGACGCCGGAAAATTATCGAGCACGGTAAGGGTGAACATCAAAGTGACGGACATAAACGACAAAAACCCCGAATTCGTTGGTGACCCGTACGAGTTCAAAGTGAAGGAAGGCCTGAACCAAACTTCTGTGGGTTTCGTTCGTGCGACCGATGCCGACGAAGGAATAAACGCTCTGGTGTCTTATTCGATCCCGGCTGATCTGCCCTTCGACATCGATAACGAAACGGGAGAGATCTCCACCAAACGACCTCTTGACTATGAAACGCAGAAGGTATGAAAATAAAGTTTCATCAAAAAATGTTTATCCCCAACCTGACACCAAAATGCTTTTCACCCAAATTGTTAAACATGGCGGCGTTAATTTATATTTGCCGTGATTATTTTATCATATGAAACCTGAAATGTACACAGATATAGAAAATATCTGTGAAAATGTTCAATAGTATGTTCTTGATTTTGATCTAAANATCCCACACCTGACACCAAAATATTCCTCGTTCTGAACACTCAGGACTGACGTGTTCATTACATAAGAATACCCTACATAGAAAAAGTAAAAGAAAAAACATATTATGTATAAAATAGTGTAATGTATAGCGAGCTGTGGTTTCTCTAAACGATATGCAGCTCCGCGATACAAATTAGGGTAATGTTCAAGTGCTAGTGCTATTTATAGACTACAGCCGGAGAGAGATACTGGGTCAAACAACCTTTAATGTATTCACATAGTGAGGACATAGAAAAAATCAACCAGTAAGTCCACCCCCACTACTTTCATTCCTCAATTCACAAAGTTCTTGGTGACCTCGAAATGAAGTGTGGAGCCAACTTTGTTCTTTTACCATAGCCGTGCGCTTATATAAAAACGAAATTTAAGATCATTATAGAATATTTTCTGATAAATTATTCATAACCAACTACAAAAACTTAAAACAATAATAACAACAGCGAACTGGCTGGTATCTGAATCGCCACAAAAGAAATAACCAGGAAAGGAATCTGGCAAAAGCATAACAATCTGCACTGACAGCAGACACGCCCTATTAGCCAACGTGTTACCTCAGAGCTAGCACTAGAGTGCCACCAAGATTTAGCCAAAGCCTCGTTAGATAATAACATTATCCTGAGGTGGGTTAAAGGGCACGACAGGACTAAAGGTAATCCCATTGCCGACTCTTTAGCCAATGAAGCGACAGGACTAAGAATTTACGGACCCAGTGGCACCTACGTATCAATTTCCGACCGTTTATTATAACTAATCCGATGTCCGTGGACCGTCAAATCCTCCGATACTACAGCACTGAAGGCGTTGGATGAGAATCTTATGCTAAAAGCGGTTGAAGATTCCCGGCAACTCGGGCGGATCACGGGGTAAGAGAGCTAACTGGTTGTATTATTCTACTGTGGTGAGGAAGTGGAGCATTTATAGAATAAGAACTTTCAGATTGAGAAGGTATTGTTGATAGTATTGGTTGATGGAAAACAATCATTTCAAACTGAAATTATCTGTCATCACCGTAAAATGACTACCTTCCACTAATAGTATCAGCTGGTTAACAGAAAAACAGATTTTAACAGATTTTGTTTTTAATAGATTACCAAATTGGAAGTATTTTAGTCCGTAGTTTAGAACTTGTTTGATATATAATCGCTATGAGGGCGTTTTATTCAAATTCAACAGGTGCGGAATTAATGGGATGACTGTAATCTATATTTGTAAGGTAACTTGAAATTATGTTGAGCTTATTTTTATTTTCGATTCATTGTATTATTGATATTTCATTGAACTGTATTACAAAAGGTATTATTATGCTGCCACGCGTTATTTGCATTTGTGATTAAATTGCCATGTGGGTTTATTTTAAATGGTCAAAGAGTTCGCCTAATGACTTTTGTGGGATTCGGGAAATTATACCGTGAAGGTAAAGGTATGTGATTAGAAACGGTTCAGTAAACTTTCATAAATTGTTACTATAATGAATTGAATATATTTATTACACATTAATTATGAATATAATATATAGTATACTCGTATATATATATACTTTTTCAACGTTTCGGCTTCGAATTTGAAGCCATTTTCAAGAAGGTATGACTACACAAAGTACGTTTTATTTCTAAGGAGCTATTCGAGATACAATTCTCTCCAGACATGAGAATATACGCTGATTCTTTTAGCTTACGTCTCTTAGAATGAGGCTCATTGGTAATCTTTCTTGTCCTATTCCATTCCACCCGATGTTCACCGTCTGACTTTAAAATGTGTTCTGATAATTTCGATCCTGTCAATTGTCTATTTTTTATATAATCTCGATGTTGTAATAAGCATTCATTTATTATCAAGAAACTACAATGATTTATATAGGGAAAACATAACTACAAGAAATTTTCATATTACACATATAAGAAACTTTTGCGATATTCATGAAATAGTTCAAACATTTCAAGCTTGTTATGGTTTTATCCGCAGAATTATCAGTTCGTCGTGACGGCAAAAGATGGCGCTCCTGATCCTAGGATAGCCACAGCAACTGTATCAATCGAAGTTCTTGACATTGAAGACGAAGTGCCTGTATTTCCCATCGGAGAATACGAGGCCACTATACCCGAAAATGTTCCAGACGTCTTCGTCACTCAAGTCAAGGTAAGAAAAGTGTTTCCATCAGCATTTATAATTACCTGACAATAAATGGATGCTTTGATTCGCGAGAGAAAAGGGTATGAGATTTTGAAAAGTCAGAGGTATGAGTGGATTCAAAATGTTGGTATGAATGACAGTATTTTTGTTTTTGTCCTGGTGTGGAAAAAATATTCAATAGATCAATAAACGTTATCTATCTTACCCTACTCGAATTTTCCGCAGGCGATCGATCCAGACACGATTAAGAAAGTCACATACGTCATCCACCGAGGTCCCACGGATCTGTTCAGGATCGAGGAGAACACGGGGTCGATATACACCACCAGGGGCTTGGATTACGAGAAGGAAAACCAGCACGTCCTCGTCATCGGCACTTTGGAAAACATGTCGAGCACGAACGGAAGCACAACTAAAGTTATAATCAACGTTGAGGTAAAACACAGTACTATTGAAGATCGGAAACTTTCTTGGTCGGTTGTAACAGTGTCGAGGCTATTTTTCAGCAGGTATGGATGCCGAGTACTTCGCCAGTGGCGTCATCGCCTTCGACAATGTCTACCGCAGCCGTCGACGAAACGGCAGACAGAAAAACCTACAGACCACGGTCAAAAAACCCGGAAAATAGTTTCGACACAAAATTATTGCCGAAATTCGGCGTTATCGATGCCGAATTTCGGCATCGGTCTGAGTTTCGGCCGCTGCCGAAACTCCCTTACGAAGATTATGTTTTGAGGGAAAAATAAAGAAAAGTAGGTGTAGATTCTTCTTTTGAATATCATTAATGGTTTTTCAAAACTAATAAACGTAAAATTACTTATTTAAGTTGTTACCTAATATCGCAATAGGTACTTAATATTTATGTAATAAACGAAGTATATCACAAAGTAAGTCACGACATTATAAGAGGCACGTGGACGCGGCAAATAATCTTTGTCGCTTGTATGACGCGCCGAACATGATCGATCACAACTCGAGAACTCCCGACTGTAGTTTCGGTCGTAGTTTCGGCAGGTTTGCCGCCCAAACCGAAACAGAGTTGCCAACCATAGCGGAATTCCGCTAGTGTAGCGGAATTTACTCGGCGGTAGCGGCGTAGAGGATTTGAATATTAAGTAGCGGAATTTTCTATAATCAATATTGAAAAAAATATGGAAGAAGAAGAGGCAGTGGAGAGCACTCTCCTTCTTCTTCTTTTCGATTCAATGGCCTCAGCAACTAAGGCTATCTGCAGACAGCACTCGAAGCTGACAGCTAATACGTTATAATCTTAGTAGTGAGGCCATTACATGATGAATGAGAAGAAGAATATTTTTGAATATTTTCATTAAAATCATAAACCATATAACCTCTAATATCTTGAAACTAAAAGTCTCGACTTTCTCGAGTATTATAACTTATATGAAACAAATTAGAAGAAATAGAAGATAGTTCATATGATTGTGACTCGAGCGAAAGAGCTATCGCAGATGGAATTGACGGGAATGGGATATGTTCAAAAAATACAAAAAGTCTTGGAAACAAATTTTTTTATCAACATTTTTTGTCTGATTCCAACTTGAAAGGATGGATTAGTTGTCGGGAATGATCGTCCAAGAGCTCAGTGTGACTATCCGTACGTGAACAAATTGATTTTTATTTTTACTCTTCAAAATCATTCTTTCAAGCTAAGAAATATTTGGTCGAGACGACAGTTTTCACTTTTTTTCATGTGTAGCGACTTTATAGTTCTACTAGTTGGCAACACTGAACCGAAACCCGTTTTATTGCCGAAACTCGACCGAAACCGAACTTTCGGTCGGACACTATAAACAAGAAGCAATGTGTTTCTTTTGGAAATTTACTGCTTCTATCCTTTCTTTGGAAGATTCTCAAATGTTTTTGTATAAAGATGGAGAAGTAGAAAGCCTAAACTTTTTCTCTCCCAAAACGTAATCTGTCCTAAAAGTACACCAGCTTCTTCAGGCGTGTCTATACTATAGTATAGGCAATATACTAGTGTCCATACTATAGTGTTCGTAAAACGGTTTCACAGGAATCCAAATCGTGTTTCACTATACAATAGCATCTTAAGGCGTGTCTCTAGTATACACTATAGAATATTGTCTATACTATAGTATATACACGCCAGAAGAAGCTATTGTTTGGCAAAACACGTGTTCGGTTTCTGTGAAACCGTTTTACAAATACTACAGTATAGAGACTAGTATAGGTGCCTATACTATAGTATAGGCACGCCTGAAAACGCTGTTGTATAGCGAGTAAGTGTTGCGTTTTTGTAAAACTGAAATCTAATGGCCATCACATGGCCATTATTTGTTGTATTAACTAATATTATCGTTAGTTAATCAAACCAATCTTGAATTTTTGATTCAAGGACCGCAACGATATCCCACCGGTTTTCACCATTATTCCGCATCCAATTACTCTGGAGGACAACGTACCTATAGGCACGACGGTAACGACCCTCGAGGCCACCGATTCGGATGGAACAGCTCCCGGAAATAAGGTGAATATGACGTTTTCGCGTTAGAGAAATATATATTATGAACATTAGGAGTCTCAAAGGGCATCCTTGGGGAACTCCCTTCAATGTAGAGCTATGTAGCTTGTTTTCGACAATAAATTGTCTTTCCTCCGTCCGTCCGAGTATGAAGCTATTATATCAACTCTCATGTTTTGTAGAAAAAGTAGATTATTTCAGGATCACTGCTTGGTTGCCACGGTTATTGTAAAGAAATGAACCAAACGTCCATCTTTATATTGTCTTTTTACTACAAATACCCATCCTTACCACTTTCAATTATTCAACAAACAGATAATAAATAGTTTGAGTTTCATTGACGTTCATGTTTTTTAGGTTCGATACGAATTAGTCGGAAGAGGAAAAGCTGAGAAATACTTCCAGATAGATCCGGATACTGGAGTGTTACGCGTCACGAACGATCTGAAAAAAGAAATTGATACGGAATATCAGGTGAGAAAATTATTGCTTTCATTCCGTTCATATGAGTTAATGTCATTTTGAATATAACAAACACTTCAACTGAAGCTTCAACTATTATTTGAATGCATGTCGCCTTACTAGATCACTTCGCGTAACGCTCTGTAACGTCCACTTGACTGTCTCGATATGCTCGCAGCTAGCGTTTATATGCGCTAGAAAATTTCGCCGAAATTCCGTCGAAATCGGTAACATTATTCTCACTGCTTCTAGAGTGGCGGGGAATCATTATATATTCGCGCGCTCTCAGCTACGTCACCATTGGTTTGTAGGTACCAGTGGCGGCCGGCGTTATATTCTTCAGGGCATGATTTACAACACTACCCCCTTCCTTGAGGTTGTTTGCCCCGAACAACATTCCAAAAGAGGGGACATCACGACCCATGTAAAGACTCTCTATATGGACAACTTTAGGTGACAATTGGTATCTGTATACCAAATCGTTTAACTTTTTGTTTACCAAGGAAGGTCCTTGCTATGGTCTCTGCAATATGGGACACAAACTCTTTCCANATTAATAATTATTTAACCATCGAGTACATATTTCAAATTCACTTTTATCTATCATATCGGTCTTTTTTTTAATGCATTACACCCATTCCATTTTTAACTTTTATAATTTCATCCCACTGCTGACACCAAATGTGACGTGATTTAAGAATCACTGTGTGAAATCATACAGACTAAGATGAAAATGTATGTGTAATAGGAGAATATTCGTTCACAGGAAAGTTCTTCATGAACGTGACTGAAGATAGGAATTGTGCGCTGTATTTGAACGGTTCGTTGGATTATGAAACCCAGGAATCGTACCAATTCGAAGTTGAGATAATGTCTTTGAAAGGCTTCATCAACAAAGATTTCGCCATAACCCAAATAACGGTAAACGTTTTGGACGTGAACGACAACGAGCCCTATTTCATCTACCCCTCGCAGGAGTTCAAGAAATACTACGCCGCTTTATCAGACTCATCAGCTCTGTCTACCACCGTGATGCAGGTCAAAGCCGACGATAAAGACGGAGGGAAGTTCGGGAAAATCAAGTACTCCTTGTCCGGCAACAACAGCGAGGAGTACTTCGTCATCGACCCTTTCACGGGGATCATAAAAACGAAAAAGTCCTTCCAAGAGGTGGACGAGTCGGTTCTTCCGTTTAGATTGGAGGCCAAAGCTCGGGACAACCCGAACTCCACCGACAATTTTTTCGAGACTGAGACCCAGGTGATCGTCAACTTGATTGGTTCGAGGAACAGGCTGATCCTGGTGATCGAGGACGCCAAGCCGGACGTGGTGCAGTCGAAGATCGGAGATATCGCGAGGATATTGCAGGAGCATTCGGGGATGATAGTGGGTGTGGAAAAGCTGGCGACGAAGGAGTATATTGGGAAAAACGGGACTTTGGAGGTGAATACTGCAGCGACTGACGTTTGGTTTTGCGTGGTCGACCCGGAGAACGATACAATTTTGGAAAGGAATCATTCTGTGATACGAAGGTGAGTAAATTTTAATCAATATTTACTTCAACGAATATGCGAATATGATTTTCTGAAACGGATTTTTTTTATTCCTCTTTTAACCTAATATTATTGTGATATATGTTTATATTTATACTGACATGTTCTATGCCCTCAGGGGTACTGTATTTTTATCCTGAACAAATAAATTTTATCTATCTATTTATTGAAAATAGGATTTTTAGGGGAGATAGTTTGGGAACATCCGAAGAAATCAAGAAATTTTATATTTTCCTTGTTTTTTGTCAGTGTGCTACGCCAATGATTGAATATATTATTCTCATATTCTCTCTATTATTCAGAGGAATCGGGCAAATTACGGATATGCAGTTGGTTAGTACCTCATCCACTAGATGAAGTGACATTTTGTTGTTCGTTCCAACTTAGGAAGAGGAATGAAATACTCTGAAAGAATTCATTGACTTTAGGTCGATGATGGCCACTATCTTGCACTGATGAGAGTCTAACGAGCCCGAAACCGGTCTGCAAGTGTGCCTGTTCCAAAATTGAAGGTTCACTCTTTCAGTTGTATTGTCAATTGCATATGCAGGAAATTTTCTCTGAATGTTCCTGCACTGACGCTTGTCGGATATAATCCAACGCCTTTCGTGGTATTAGCCAGGGGAGTAGTTGTTTTCTAGGCGCCAGTCCATTCAACCTACTGTGTAGGTATATTCGAGACTGGCTTGAACGTTCAAAGTTCATTTCTTTAGATTTGTTTACTGCCAGTCTTGAAGCATAGCCCACTGACTAATAAGAATATATTATTGAAATAATGTTTGGGCTCGCCATCTTCTGAAAAATAGCTGAACTATGCCTCATGAAATAATGATTTCTAGAAACATGTCACTTTGAAATGCTTTTGTACCATGAAAAAATAAAGTCGTTATATACCTATTTTGTATTTGGGGCAAAAATAACCTAGTTCAAACAATTAAAGAAATTGGGTTTTCATTCTTAGTACATTTGTAGAAAAACTTCTTTTCAAACTTTCTTTTATGATTTTTATTCTTTTAAGCATTTTCGAATCAAAGTAAAAATCGAATATGTATCGAAATAAGGAATACAAATCATTTACTTTAGATTTAATTTCCTGTCAAACCCAGCAATATTGAAATAATTTATGACATTATAACCGAAATGACATTAAGTCATAAAGTGAAAAATGATTTAACCACGACACTGTAATCATTGCAAAACGCCATCCTTTAATGGGTCTCTTCAATCTTGGGAACAGAAAAAACTGTCTGGGGGTCAAATCTGGTGAATACGGTGGCTGAAGCATGATTACGGTGTTGTTTTTGGCCATTCTGAACACTCTTGATTTCTTCAAGAATTTAAAAACAATATCTACGATAAGAGAATACTGATTGTAAACCACAGTAGGTACACGTATTAGTACCGTGAATTGTTTGACTGTAGGATCATCAAATTGTTTTAACGCAAACACAGTTGTTTTAATACATATCAAGTAAATATGACCAACTCTGAATTAGCAGAAAGTCATTTCGTTTAAGGACTAGCAGATGGAAATACTACAGAAGCCCGTCGAGAAAGATATCCTCTTAGAGATATTGCAGCAGAAAGATCGGTATTCAGATCAGATAGAATGGACTGCGTGAAACTGAATCACCTTCCTGGTAGAACGAGGACAATAAATAATAACACCACAATTTGAGAAAACAATTATTCGAAAAGTTGACGACAAAACTTCAACAAGTACCCGAAAATGAGCTGCACAGTTCAATGTCAATCGTCGAAGTGTTTGGGAGGTTTTGTATGAGAATTTATTGTCTCCATACCACAAGCAACGGGTGCAGGCACTGTTACCGCGAGATTTTTCTAGAAGATTGGATTTTTGTCAGTGATTTCTTTAAAGAATTGTACAAAATTTCAATTCTACTTGAGAAGTTTTATTCACTGATGAGGCAAGTTTTTCAAAGGATCCCATCATAAACTTTCATTACAATCATTCTTGGGTCTACGAGAATCACCATCTTGCTACTAAAGAAAATGGATTTCATCAGGCATTTTCGGTGAACGTCTCTGCTAGTAATACAAAATGCCTGGTTAATGCACGACGGGGCACCAGGTCATTTCAGTGTAACTGCTCATGAATATCATACTGATACTTTTGCTCACCATTAGATAGATTGTGGCAGACCTCAACCATGGCCACCTAGATCACCAGATTTGAACCCTGTGGATTATTTCTTATGATGATATAAATCGCTTGTTTAAGCGACACCATTTGTCCATGAAAATGACTTGAGAAATACAATTATGCATAATTCTTATGTCGTAAGCAACACCTCAGGAATTTTTGTACGTGAGCGTCACTCGATGAGGAACAAACATGTTTGAAAGTGTTTGGGAGGTTTTGTATGAGAATTTATTGTCTCCATACCACAAGCAACGGGTGTAGGCACTGTTACCGCGAGATTTTCCTAGAAGATTGGATTTTTGTCAGTGATTTATTTAAAGAATTGTACAAAATTTCAATTCTACTTGAGAAGTTTTATTCACAGATGAGGCAAGCTTTTCAAAGGATGCCATCATAAACTTTCATTACAATAATTTTTGGGCCTACGAGAATCACCATCATGCTACTAAAGAAAGTGGATTTCAGCAGGAATTTTTGGTGAACGTCTTTGCTAGTAAGACAAAATGTCTGGTTAATGCACGACGGGGCACCAGGTCATTTCAGTATAACTGCTCATGAATATCATACTGATACTTTTGCTCGCCATTGGATAGATTGTGGGAGACCTCAACCATGGCCACCTAGATCACCAGATTTGAACCCTGTGGATTATTTCTTATGGGGATATAAATCGCTTGTTTATGCGACACCATTGGTCCATGAAAATGACTTGAGAAATACAATTATGCATAATTCTTATGTCGTAAGCAACACCTCAGGAATTTTTGTACGTGAGCGTCACTCGATGAGGAACAAACATGTTTGAAGGTGTTGACAATGTTTCGTAGTGCATCAGATAATCTTTTTGAATTTTTTCACAGATTCTTTCAGGTATTTCAAATCAATTTATATCATATTAGACAATGAAAGTCTACAACGTAAAAAAATGCCTTGTTGACTCGATGATTTTCATCGAATTGCGTCGACCGATTCAATGAATATTGTTCAACGTTTTTCAGTTGGGGTTCTTTTTGGGTTCCCTTTTCGGCTTCCCTTGATTTTTCTTTTCAAGGGAACTTTTTACGGCTAATTATCGAACGAACGCACCCGATGATTATCAATGCGCTCATTGTGCAAACATAACCGTGAATGGATCAATCCCAGGAATTTTAATTAGTTCCATTACTCAGTACCGATACGAATTTCGTGCCTTCGACGTGTGTGCGAGAGAAAAAGTGAAGAAAAATGTAGAACAAAGTCGAAATATTCATGTCGAAATTTTTTGGTAGATCTTCGACGTCGGATTTGCATCACTGAAGGTAATAAATCGTAAATAAACCAGATTTGCTTGTTTTTCCATGAAAATTGGAGGTCTCAAATGCAATTTTTTTTATTAATGAGTGGAACTAATAACTTGTTTGTGTTGTTGGCACAGCTAATGAAACAATTCGTGGAGCACGTTTCGATAGTAATCATGGCTTTTGATGGAATTTCCTTTTTTTATGGGGCTGCTATGAAATAGATCGAATAAAGCGTATTTTCTCGAGTTATTATAATTCCGTACGATAATTCGGGACAAATATTATTCGGGTGCACGGTAACATGGACGTAATAATCAAGGAAGTTCTAGAAAAGTTTTTTTTACACGCTTTGAATTCGCTTCACCTGTATGTATGTTTGTTTGTAACTCCCTAGCTCGGGATCCGTATTTGACAGAATTATCGACATTATTGCTTGATCTATTCGCGGGCAGATCGCGCTGTACGTAACATTTTGATAAAATCGTTATTTTCGGTTGATCTTTTTAATTTTTTTCAGGGATTTCAAATCAATTTATATTATATTAGACAATGGAAGTCCGAACTAATGAAATACACTACGAAACATTGTCAACCACCTTCAAACACTAGTATTTTTTGTTCATTATTGTTTTAAGCTTATTTAAAAAAAGTTTTTTCAACTTTTTCGTTCGATGTTTTTTAAAAGCGTGTTTTTCAGTTTTTCAAACTATATTTATTTGGTTCATTGAACAACTAGCATTGGGTACATTAGATAGGCTGAATAGTTCGTAGCCTAACACACAAATGGCGTTACTGGTGTTGAATCCATATAAGTTTTATTCAACCCTAACCTTCAAAAGACAAGTTTATGAATTTCACAGTTATCGGACTATTAGTTGGTGGAATAGAACATTATGGTTGAAGCAACTTTTGTTAGTTTGAAGAACATTGGTAAAATGGAATTTCGTGTGTTAACAAAGCTTTGCTTTTTGAGAAAAAAGTATTGTTACAGGCAAGGTTTGGCTTGATGAGCGTTATTCGAACTTTTTACTAGGAAAATCAACCGTTGAGAAATAGTTTGCTAAGTTTAAATAAGGTGTAATGAGCACCGAGCGTTATTGAAGCGTTTGAACGACGAAATCCCGTAAACCCGGGCCCATTTAAAGAAGAAGAAAGTGCTGTTTCATCAAGATAATGCAACGCGTCACAAATCAATGAAAACGATGGCAAAATTAGGTTTCGATTAAGGATTTTTGTGGTCGACTATGTAGGTATATAAGAATCCACACCGTGTTATCCTAGTAACAGAGAGGAATGTGTTAGTTTGAGAGCTATCACTATTGATACTGAAAATTCACTTCATTTCGTTGAAATTTTCAAAGCTGGCCTGCTGGTTCACCGGATTTGACTTCTCTCGATTTTCTCCTTTGGAGCTACATCAAATCGAATGTTAATGTTACGCAACCTGGGAACTTGGAGACATAATTACCGAAACTTGTTACCGGCATCACCCCAAAAACATTCCAGAATGTTAAAAATTTTAGAGGGGGGTAGAC